AGCAAATTTCATACCCTATGCCCCAAAATGTATATTTCTCCAAAATATAGAAGTCAAGGGTTTTTTTAAAAACAATTGTCAGTGATATATTGATATTCATAGAAACCTAATCAATATTACTCAGTTACTTGTTTGAGACTTTAAATACAGCAGTATTTGAAAGGGACCATGTACCTCAAAAGAATGGCACCTCATTCCAGGGTTGTTTGTCCCCCTGCTCTTGTTGACCTGGGAGTTCTAATAGTGCTTAAAAATAAGAGAAACAGGTTACTTTAACTCAAAAGAGGAACAAAGAACAAGGAGTTGTTTTCCCTTTTCCCAGCTGCCCTCTGGTGGCAAAGACACAACAGACAGCAAAGGCTGAATAAAGTGAAGCGGCATAGGTACAGCTAGTGATGCTGAAGCCGGCCATCATGAAGCGGTGCCCACTCCTGTGTCTTCTGAGAAAGCGGAGTGTTGGGTCTCCTAATTACATTTTGCTTCTCAGCAGCATCTGCTCTTATCATAGCAGCACCAGGCTCCACCAGCTCAGTCAATACTTGTATATTAGCAGGAGACAATCGATAGAAAAATTAAAAAGGAAAGTCAAGGTAATTAGGCTAAAGCTGCTGCTTATGAGTTTTCAATAATTACTTTAGCTTCCTCTTGTTTCCCCATCTTCAGAAAAATAGGGCCTGATTGAAGGACTGGGTCGTGTTTGACTGAGGACATGTCAAAATTATACAAAGCCAGGCAGGAAATAAAATTAAGCTGTATTTGTTTTAGAGCTGTAAAAGGGGCTTTGCATGATGGCAGGGGAAGAATAGGCGCTGATTTAAATGCACCCATTGGCAGCTGTGCCATTGTTGGTACCTGTTTCATGTCATCAGTTTCTGCACCACTGGCAAAAGCCCACTCAAAAAGCACTGTGACATGTCATATATTCATGTGCAGAGGAAGATAGTGGATGAATTTCTCCCAGAAACATTAGCATCTAGAAATTAAATTCTGACCTTTACAAAACTAGGTAAAAATCTCATGGCTGCCACTGTGCATCATCCTTGAGGCATTGTTTTCTGTGGACATAGGGGACAAGGATCTGGGCCTACTCTTGAACACTTTATAAACAAACCATGTTTGTTAAGAGAAGGAGCCCAATCTTTGGTTTTAAGCTGCTTTGGTGTTTTTGTGCCCTGGTTCTAGAAAGAAATCTTCTAAACAGAACCGCCCTGTATCTTACTGTTGCATATCAGGTTGGCACCTGCTTCATGGAGGAAGGAAACAACAACACTGTCCTTCATTTGGTGGAAATAAATCTGAAGAAAAAGGATAGTTTGGTTAAAGACATATTTCATGCTTTATGTCCATTTACAGTCTTCTTTTGCACCATTTCTGTCAGCTTGAATCACTTTATAAACTTTATAACCAAATTATGTACTTACATCATTTCATTCACTGTTGATGTATAGCTATTAAACATCTGCCAGATACATAGTTCCTGTAGGAGAAAAAAAACTATAGAAGAGAGTTCAATCTTGCTAGATGTACAGTGAAATTTTAAATACAAAGAATATAGTGTGAAAGTATTTATTGAGCACCTGCTATTTCCAAGGTAAGGAAGTAGAAAATATAAAGGCCTTACCACATTGCTTACATTCATACGGTTTTTCTCCAGTATGAATTTTTTCATGTAACTGAAGATAACCAGGACATCTAAAGGCTTTACTACAATGTTTACATGTGTATGGTTTCTCTCCAGTATGAATTTTTTCATGTACTTGAAGGTAACTGTAGTGTGTAAAGGCTTTACCACATTGCTTACATGTACAGGGTTTCTCCCCAGTGTGTGTTTTTTCATGTCTTTTAACATCACTCTTACATCTAAAGGCTTTACCACATTGTTTACATTCATAAGGTTTTTCTCCAGTATGATTTTTTTCATGTAACTGTAAGGAACTAAAAAATGTAAAGGCCTTACAACATTGTTTACATTCATATGGTTTTTCTCCAGTATGAATATTTTCATGTAACTGAAGATAACCATGACATCTAAAGGCTTTACCACATTGTTTACATGCATAGGGTTTCTCTCTGGTGTGTATTTTTGCATGTCTTTGAAGATGACTATTACATCTAAAGGCCTTACAACATTGTATACATTCATACAGTTTTTCTTCAGTATGAATTTTTTCATGTACCTGAAAGTGATCGGATTCTATAAAGGCTTTCCCACATTGTTTACATGCACAGGGTTTCTCTCCAGTGTGTGTTTTTTCATGTCTTTGAAGATCACTATTATGTTGAAAGGCTTTACCACATTGTTTATAGTCATGGGGTTTTTCACCACTAT